CATGCGCTGTGGAAAGGAGGAGTATAATCAACTATAACTGAACACTTCTACGCCGCGTGAAGCAGCTTCCCTTCAAAATCTCGCCCGACTCGTGGGGGGTTTGTTTGTGACGAAAAATGCGTAAAACCCCCACCCCCACCCGTTATGTACTACTCTGTACAAAAAGGTGTGCGCTATAGAACCTCTATCTACATAACCCAAACATTAAAGGAAAGTTTGACATTCCTTTTTCAATAGCATCACACCTCCACAACTCCCTTGCCATAGAATTATTCCACAATGCTCTATCTCATTTCTTTACTAAAGTTCACTTCTCTATTGTACCACGTTATAAAAGTCGCCTCTAAAGATAGCGTACTTCATCAGAGACAGATCTCGCATCGTAATTCTTCAACAATAATTTTCGAGGGAGGAAAGGATTTTTTGTAAAAGTTGATTAGGCTAGTTTTAAAATATGCCTTTGTCGAGGAAGAAAATTAAATTTAATAAATTGTTTGTTAGGCTACTTCTATTGGAAGCAGGGGATCAGAAAAATATTCATTTTTATAATCCAAAAGTTAGTTTTCATAATTCAACAGCATGAATTATATTTTAGCTTATACTACGGTAATTTATAATTTATGAATAAATATTGTTAATAATAACGAAAACTTGATATTGGTTTTTAAGATCAGTGCCAGGAGGAATTTCTTGGCCCTTGAGTTAAACTGGTAAAATATTTTTGATGTAAGGTAAGAAGAAAGTCGAATCACCCTCAGATCAACCTCATTAATATCTTCTAATATAGGCCTAGTTTCTATTGTCTTCCTTTATAACACTTTATCATTACTGATCTTATCACAGCCTAATAGGTCGTTATTGTTAGCAGAACTGCTCAGATGTAGAGGTTGGTTCAGTTGTTGGCCGCTGAAAGCGCTAGTGAATGTACTTCCGCTAAACAGCCACAAGAACCCTTTGTTGAATCCGCTCCCGGCATGCAACACAGTGTGACATGGTAGTGTATTAATATAGCAACAGTATGTTACAGTCGGGGTACTTCATGGCAAAATGGCATGTCTGGATGTCAGTACATTATGACGTGAGTCTCAAACCATTTGTACGTACTGCCATGTGAATTCCCCTCATTAATTTCTGTTTTATAGTAGATTTTTATTATATACTGACATTTTCTCAACTACGTAGAAGTATTAGTCAAGTGACTGAATATTACGAATAATGAACTGGAAAACATGTCGAAGAAAGCGGTCATGTTATATTTTAAGAAAGCATCTCAGCATATATATTTTTTTTTTTTTGGAAAGGCTAAGGGATACCATAAAAATCTTGAGTCAGGAGAGCAAGTTTCCAGCCTAGAACCAAAATTTAAATTCAGTGTCCATTGAAGACACGTTTCAAATATTAGACAAATAATCTTTCTCCTGTGCCCACTCCTCTCCAATTCTTTTTTTACCGGGAGCAAACAGGGCGAAGCGTGAAGCTTAACACTCACCTCCATCAGGTGCCGAAGACAAGATGTGTGATGCTTTATCTTATGTCCAGTAGAGCGTCTTATTGTAGTAGTGCTTAGGCACACGGACAGATTTGCATTACATTTATCGTATATTGTGTAATATAAATAAAATAAATACTTTTTCGCATTGGGAACGAGAACTCTGACAATGCGGATGAAATTATACAGGAAGCAATAAAAACTCTAGCGAAATGGAGGTTACAGCGCTCATGTGGTATTAGAGTTCTGTTTGAAACAAGAAGGGGGATGGGGCGACAGGATGGAAGGACAAAGAGAAAGGACGGAAGGAAGAAAGGAAAATTCACCTTTAAAGCTGGAATAAACTTTCGCCGTTTATTTAATTTTCTTCGCTGTTTGATCAGTCCATGTAACTTTATGACATAGACGGGAACTACATTTTCAGTACAGTCATTTCTTTCGATTTCTGTCAGTCCTGTGCTACAGAGTGACTTTCAAAATGTAGGAATGTTACACACAGAACGTCGTGATCGAGTGGTTAGAATTCCTGCTTCGTATTCGACAGGTCCCGGGTTCATTAGATATAAAATCCGTTTCTGTAATTTTTGCTTCGGTAAATATTTAGCGAGTTGAGGTCCAGATTCTCGCAGAAAAGCGTGTACGTCTTCATACAAAGTCGTCGTTATTGTTCTACAAACATAACCAAAATGTAAATGTCGACAATGTTTAGTAAAACTGCCCAGTATCAAATGTAATGACTACCTGTTCAGTGGTTCTTTAGCTGTTACATGCGGGCAGAGGGTGAAGGTTTTGGTGGGAATTTTTCAACATTTCGTTGTAAATGATCCGAGGTCCCTGTTTCGTTATTACTGTATGTCTTTTAAGTTCCTAACGAAACTCAGATGTCACTTTTAATAAACAACCCGTCTTCAGCGGCTACATCGAAATATCTCTTGTCACCTCAGGCATATCTGTTGATGTTGCAGAACGTGTCTTGAAAGCGGAATATTTCCTCTGGTTTATGACGTCAGCCATAATCTTTATATTGACGTTCTTACATTGCTGTAAAGCTGGCGACAACAGAACCCTTCTACACGTCCTTCGTTAGTATTTCCAAGCTCGTCTCCCTCACTCCCCCTCCTTCCCGCTTTTTTTGTCCTTGTTCTCCCAACAGCTACTTTAAGACTCGACAAGTTTTAGAACAGTGAAGTGTAAATTTCAGCGGGTTTGCTCCAGCATCTGAAAGGATCTCTCTGTACTACTGACAATTCCTCCATCTTCTGTCTCCTCCCACATGCTTCCGAGAGCCTTCTCTCTTCCTTGAGCTAACGACGTAGCCGGTTGGCTTTACATCCTCAACACGAAGAGGAAGCCCGGGAATTAGATTTGGTTTCCGGGTTCAGACGTGTGCCTTCAATATACCCTGCCAGTACAGATAGCAGCACTGTACAACTTGGAGTCGGATGGAGCAGAGACAAGATCAAGAACGAGATATAGGAGAAGGACAAAGAAAAAGTTCTTTAAAACAGAGATTGGCAGGCGGAGGAATACGAGCCTGTGTAAATATATATCACGAGCTTAGCGAAACAGAGAAGAAAGAAACAAAGAATGAAGGGTGAAGGGTGAAGTAAAAAAGATCCTAACAACTGAGATTTAAAAAAAAGGTATCGAGGTGCCAGATATGAGGCTTCCTGAGCAGTTCTTGGTTCATGCAACGACAATTGTTAAACTATCCAGGTTATATAGCATAGAATGAAAGGATAATTAAAAGTGGTGCATTGGAAAGGATGTGGAAGGAAGATATCGGGGCTTAGTTTAACGTAATATATTATTCCGGCATTTTCATGGGAAACCACAAAGAATATCAGTCAGGATAGCCATTCTCCGAATCAAGATTTGAACCGGAACCCCTGTATATAATCAAGAGTACCGACCGAGAATAGAGTTGAAGCAGTCACAGTAAAATATAAGAAATTAATTACTAAAAATAGTTCATTTTTAAATGGCTGATGTTCAGAAAAGAGCTTTGTTCCCTCACCTGTTTCGAGGTGGCATTTTACATCATTAACATAATTTTATACAATTTACACTTTAGAAACGAAAAGTGAATTGTACGTCTTCCAGTATCGTGTCGCCTTGATTTGCTAGAAACATCCAAGAAGCGTGATTTTTCTGAGTCTTTAGGTATTCTTCGCGCTCTAGCGTCAGCAAAGAACGCCTTATGGACCCCGTCCATGTTTCTTTGTCTGTCTGTTGCCTCTTCCCGGGGGGGGAGGCAACCCGAATTACAAATGTCACTGTTGGGCAACAGACAACCAACTGATTCAGATTTGACTGACACATTTTTGGACATCTTGTCAAAGTGTAGGAAATAACAGCTTTGTAGGCTGGTCCAGTTGATGAGACTGCTCAAAAGAAATGTGGAATACTTTCGACGCGATGGATCTTTCATTCTATGGTTTCCACGAATGTTACTGGCAGCTTCTTGAATGTGATTAATAAAGTAATAGCTGTTCAGTACAAATGTGCTGTGGTGATATATTTCGTGTAAATTCTGTGAATATTAAAATGCTGAAACTAAGTATGTTTTTATTTAATTAAACTCTAAGCAAGGAATTTCAAACACAAATCATTACAGACTGTTGTTACTTGTGTGCATTGTTATTCATTGTTGATGATTGTCACAGAGGATACAGAAATATGATCATCTTCAGACCAAGAAACACAAAGTTGACTTCATTCTTCAGAGTTCTGCGAATGAAAATAATCTTACGTGTGCTGCTATGGAAGGTACAACTAAATTAAACATGACCTGCCCTTTCACTCCGTTGACTGTTTGTTAGTGCAAGTGAAAACGTGTAACAAAAAATCGGTAATAATACAATCAGTTTTTCCACTCCATAACATATTTAAAGATTAAATTATTGATTACATTTATTCAAAGGAGAAATATTTGATAACATTGCCAATGCTATTCATAGTTCAATTAAAAAATACGGAATCACAGCTAAAGTTGCTGACATTTTTGTGACAACTCTGATACAAAATTCAGGTTTTTTCCAGTCTCCTGTTACTCTCACCCACAAGTGAATATTTTCTTCAGGACCCTGATCTTAAAATACCTTCAATCTGTGTTCCTTCCATAATATGAAACACACTTGCACGAAGCAAAATTATAGTTTAAATTTTTCATTTTATTGTATTGTATTGTATAGTATTGCATGGCTAAAAACAAAGGTAAAAACAAGGAGCACATTATTGGCAATGGAAAATGGTGTTTGGAGGTAGTCAGCAACAAAATCCCAAATTACAGAACACTTGTTACCATCTATCACAGACCAGCTCTTCATTATTGATCATGAATCATTAGTAGCTACCACCTGTTTATGATTACGGCCAAGCGCCATGTGAGTGAGTCATGGATTGGTAATTTGGTGCCATCTGTTGTGATAAAGGTCATAATTTGTTATAGTACATATCCTTGACCTAAAGATGTCCCTACATGTATTAGAATGGAAGTCTACATCGATTCGCCTTGAAATATTCGATGTCATACGTCACGAAATTGTCGATAGTCGAAAGCAGTTTACGATTTAGTTGTGTGGGAACCGGTGCACATAGTGAGCGCAGAAAAGTGTAAGAAATATACTGATTTACATGATTCAGGACGGTAGTAATTAAATGAACAGTGCCTCTTGTATGTCAAAGAAAAATCTGCTTTAGCTTGAACATGTGTTTAATTTTCATTTCATGTTACGTCACTTTTTGTGTCATGTATATAGTCACATTGAGCTACGATATGTGCAGAATTAATACATGTATTTTACTTTAATGCCAGAATGACGATGATTACATGTGACACAGGAAGCAATCAAGCCTTTCGTAGCTGCCAGTAAAGTGATATTATTAGCAGTAGTGCATCAGAAGAAATTATTAATTCCATGAACGGAAATTTTCCGGTTTCCTGTACGTCCTTATGACAAAGTGTATTATGGCTAAACTTTGTTTACCATTACGTAGGCTATATGTGTGCATATTATAACGCTTTCAGAAGTAAATCTGTTTTTGTTTGTTTTTAGGTTAGAGTGCAGGTATTGGTATGTTTTCAGATATAGTTGTGTCCATCATCCTGTTTCTTATGCTGCCTTGCATAGCTTTGCCAGGTCTATATTTACATCACTGACCCATTTTTATGTGCGGTATCTCATTACTCTCTAAATATATGTCAGCACACATTTGACCTTTCTTGAAGTGTTCTGGGTGTTGACTTGGAAAGCAGTAAAGCATCAAAGCTTGCCACAGAAATCATCTCTGTTTTTGACAATTGTCGGTTGTATCTATCAACTTGATAGAGGAAATAAAAAATTATCACAGAAGCTTGTAGAAAAGTATCTTTGAAAGTATGCATTTTGAAAAGTGAGATTTATAATATTAAGCCAGATCTTAATGGAAACATTGTGAGCTTATGAACTGGATAGAAGTCCAACCCATTGAAGGTCTTTGGTATTAGTTGTATTGAATCTTTGGGTTCTTCTTCCAAAGAGCCAACTTCCCTACAAGTCCCGTGTTTTGAAATAAAAATATTTTCAACCCATAACTTCAGTTTCACCATGAAAAATATTACTGATAGGTTGTAAAGACTTTTGTGAAAGACAGGGTTTTGCTGTTGGTGTCTAATGTGCAGATTTCATAATGAAAATGGAATTAATTTGAAATGTTTACCCCCTTATAGCTTCTGTTGTCAAACCATGGTATGTTCATGCAGTGTTTGAAACAATTCATTTTGTGTTCTTTGACACTTAGAAACCGTTGTCGCTTTCCACTCTGTATTTCTAATACCTTTTGTATGATTCATAAAGTCTAGAAGTAGGCAGTAACAATCCATAAACTGTTATCTTTGTATTTCATTTCTTCAGAATTACACTTTTTGCATCAACTAAATGATAAAAAGGGAATCAGAATTAAATTGAATCTGTGATTAGATGGAATCTTCACTGCTTGAAATAATGATGATTTATAAATGGAATTTAGGAAAGAATAGTATTGCTAAGTCATATAAAATTAATTATATTCCTTAATTTTGCCATGTTTTTCCCAGGGCTGCAGAAATTACAGAGCAGGGACCAGGGGTGTCTCCCATAACAGGTCCTGCTCAACCATCTGAAGAGGGTGGGATGGGAGATAAAGACTGGCAACCTTTTGTGTATGGAGGATTGGCTTCATGTACTGCTGAATTTGGTACGTTCATAAGAAGAAGAATACTGTCGTCTTCTTTATATTGATTAATTTAATGAATCAACTAGAATAAGGGATAAAATAATAATATAAAGTCAGGTAATAAATCCTTCAGGACTGTACCAAAGTTTAAGAAGTTTCATATGAATATTTTGTTCACAGGAACATTTCCGATCGATACAACAAAAACCCGACTTCAGATCCAGGGACAGAAAATTGACAGTAAACATGCAGAATTGAAATACCGAGGAATGACCGATGCATTGCTACAGATTTCCAAACAAGAAGGTGTTAGAGCATTGTATTCAGGGTAAGGCTTTCATATCACGTTCTTTTACGTAGTATAATGCACTATAGATACCACATACTGTATATGAGATATAAGTACCTGTGATGTATATGTCCTGGAAAGTCATGTGTTGCATTACTAGCAGACTGAAAGATGTTCTTCTAATCTGACATAAACTGTACTGGTAATACTTTATAACACTGGAACTGTTATGAAATAGTAACAGTAATAACAAAACAGATAAATGAATAAGGATAATATGATTGGTGGAGCTGTGGCTCGCAACAAAGATATTTGAGAAATATCTGTAATAATGGCCGATGTTCTCCACTGAGGAATAGTAGGGTTACGCATGCGCACATCACTTGCCTACTGGCCCACCTACAAGTATTAACTTTCGCGTACAGTAATACAAATTCAGGGAGTTATGAGAACAGGGTGCTTAGGAGAATATTCATCCTAAGAATGGTGAAGTGGCAGGACAGTGGAGAAAACCGCATAATGAGGAACTCCATAATTTGTAGTCCTCATCAGATATTAGGATGATCAAGTCTAGGTGGATGAGATAGATGGGACATGTAGCACACATGGAGGAGATTAGAATTATGAGTAGATTGGATGTATATGGCTCATTATAGGGACCTGTGACAGGCTCTTTTAAACATGGTAATGAATCTTTGGATTCCGTAAGGGGGATGAAATTTCTTGATCAGCTGGGTATACTGTTAGCTTTTCAAGAACAACTTTGCTCCATGGAGTTGCATGTTATAACTTTGGCAACAATGGTGCCCCATTATATTACCATATTGATATTTACCCTTGTCTTTTTCATTATTCTTCTGTATTTTCCACATATTTGATTATCTGACTGGCCTTTGGTCCCGTTTAAATACGTTTTTAAGACTCATTTATATTTATTCATCAAATTAAACATTCGATCCCTGTCACATTTCGAGATCTAAAGTAGTTGATTGAAAGAATAGATTAAAAGAGGTTTTATAGGTTCTAGATGTGGTTTATGTTGTAACTTTAGCAATATTGGGGTCAGTATCAAGAGATTTCATTCTAATCGTGAGTTCTTAATTGTACAGAATTTGCCCGGCTGTTCTGAGGCAAGCAACATATGGGACTATCAAGTTTGGCACTTACTACTCGTTGAAACGTTTGGTGTCCCATGGAAGTGGGGAAGAGGATGTTCGAGTGAATGTATGTTGTGCCGTTGTGGCAGGAATGGTCTCAAGTGCTATTGCCAACCCAACAGATGTGCTCAAAGTGCGTATGCAAGTCCTTGGCAGCCAAGGCCAGAGAGGCATTGTGGGCTGCTTTCAAGATGTGTACCATCAGGAGGGCGTTGCTGGCCTATGGAGGGTGAGCTATTTGCTTATTTATTCTTAAGTTTATTTAATAATTCTTTCATTATCTGAGATGATGTAACATTGATTGATGGGATGAATGAATTATAAAGAATGCAGAAAGAAGAGGTACTATCCAAGAATTTTCCTGGAGGGAATGACAAAAATCACGTAAAAGATCAGATAGGATGGCCAGCCTCTAAGCTGTGATTTGACCGTGAGACGCACTGAATTCAAAGTAGGAGTGCTAACTATTTTGCAATGACATTCAGAATATTTGCTTATTATATTGTGTTAATTAGGTTCAGTACAAATCCGTTGGCAGCTTGCCATAAGGCCTATGTTTACATTTGCATTGTAGAGCTTTTGTGAATTATTGGACACTGATGGAAACCCAAGTTTCTTGAAGTTCAGAAACAAGGGGTCACAGTGGTTGAATAACGCAGTATGTGTCACCTTGATAGTAGATGGTTAACTCTGGAATAATTTAGCTGTGGAGAATAAGGATGCATCTGCTACATATTGTAACTCAAAAGTGGCAACATCATATCACATACCTTTTCTCCATTGAAGAGAGTTGTCATGTATCTTGCGAATAAACTCTCGTATTACATCCATGGCTTTTACAATACTGTCATCCACATCTCTACAGTTTATTAGAGAATCCAGTGTTGGTAATTCTTATGAATGCTTCTATTCCTGTTGGATGTAAATGAACGGTTTCTGTTCTTTGTCTGAATTCTTTCTTTTACTCACTCCACAGGGGTGACCAAATGTTTTTCAGTGGGTCATCTATAGATATTTATGGTATCTTTGCCAAAGTCCACTTAAGCTGTGCTGTTATGGATGACTGTCTCGAGATGGAGTTCAAAGACTTTGAGACACATCTGACTGTATAAATGACAAACCATTTTCTTATGATCACCAACCCACCAAGCTACCAACACTTGCTTATCATATAGATAGGTGCTTAGTTTAATTGATAGCAATTTGTGTACTTATCCCAAAATCTGAGATTAATGATGTTTTAGTTATGTGCATTCTGTCTGTGTTGAATATTGATATTGCCTGTCAAACAGGGTGTGGGCCCAACAGCTCAGCGTGCTGCTGTTATTGCGGCTGTGGAACTACCTGTTTATGACTTCTGTAAACATTACTTCATGGACTCACTGGGCAATCACATCTCCAACCATTTCATGTAAGTAAATATAGTATATTTATGAATGAAAATTTCAGATAGAATGTATTTCTAAAATCTGCTTGTCCGCTTGCTTTCTGTAACACTTTTCCCTATTATATTCTTCATATTTTTTTTAAGTAGAAGAGAAAGTTTAAAAACAAAGCATTTGTGTCATTGAAGTACTTGCAATAATATGCATGTTTGAATCCAAGTTGATGCTGCAGGTCTCTTTCATGTTATGAACAAAATAATTTGTGTGTGAACGTGCTTTCTCATTTATAAAGTGAGCTTCATCATATTATCACTTAAAAGTAATGCCTGTTGTGGATCACAGGAAACATTTCACAAAAGATACTACAGATTATGTGCCGTAAACTGGGCTTAGTTTCTACCAGCTTTGTCATAGTTACATCTTATTTAGATGTGCTCATTATAACATTAATCAGCTGCAGAAAATTTTGAAGCACCATATTATATTATTTTCTAAGAGAGATCATGTTAGTAGACTTGACTCCAAAACATGAGCCACAGACACCAATATGTTGTCAGTGCTCATCCAAAAGAACATTCTTGCTAAATACAGATCATTGACGTGTCACATTGATTTCTATCAATCATTAAACAGTGCATACCACCGTCAGCATGTGGAACAACAGATTCATGAGACTGGTGACTATGTGAATGGCATAAATTACAGCATCTGTTTTTAATGTGGATACCGACACAGATACTAGTAATATTGGAGCATGTGAATGCACGCTAAATCTTAATAAAGTGACACAATTTCAGTGTTTTATGGTGATAAAGTATTTTGTAATATTTATTTACTGAATGTCAATCTCTTGATTTGAGATATTGTTTGGTGGTGAGGTATATCAGAGCATAAAGTTGCCTTAATAATTGGTTTAAATTTCTCATATTATTTCCAGGACTAAAGAAAGACGACCAGTAGTGTGATACCAATAATTTGTTCTCCTAAACTAGAGTTCAGTGTATTTAGCTATTAATGATTGAAGTTATAGGTATGCTTTTTAAGCATCATATTTTATAATAAAGTTATCCTAGTATAAAGAGAATGTTGTGTAGGCATTGAAAATCACAAGGTTACTATTTTCAACTTGCATACTGAAAAAGCAGTATTTAAACATTAGTTGGAAATTCAAAACATGCTCAGCTGATTTCACAGTTCACTTCTTTCAAATTTTATTTATTTTGTCATTAACCCTTAAAGCCCAGAATTAACTTTATGTCTTACCTGCTTTAACAACCAGTAACTCTGCATTTTATATTTGTGAGCTTTTGTGACTCGTTCTAAACAGGGTTTAGTTCTTTGAACAGCATTAACCTGTAGATCTTTGTAATGGCGAAGTGTCATGTTTTCTTTGCAGCACAGACTGAATTCTTAAATAATATTTAGCTGAGCTCTGGCTTCAAAGGTTTAAATTAGTTTTATATATAGAATAAGTCACAGTTAGGTCCCAATTTAAAGAAATAATTTCTTTAAATTACAGTTATTTTAACTGAAATGAATTTGCAGTAGCCATACTGAGTACTTATGAAGAATTGTAAATTGGAAAACAAACTTGAAGTTTGTTCCAATATCATGTGCTTTGTCTCATATCTGCAGCTCTGTTCATTTTACAGTTATTGTTTCTTTAAATCAGGTCATAACTATGTTTCACCTATGTATGTGTATATAAAAATAACATTTTATAAGAAGATTATTGTACAAAGAAGGAGAGGGAATTTACCACACAACAGGATACAATGATTGTTGTTATTATAATCTAAGTTTTAGAATAAGTTACAGTGATGGATAGTAGGACTGTTAAATTAGTCTTGTCTTGTGAATGTGTGAGACGTATTAAGATATGCTGTAGAGCCAGGCAACTCCCCTAAAGTTACACTTATCGGGTGTCTTGTTACAGATTGTGCCAAGCGACCAGCTTGCATTGAGTAGTGCTTGCTCGCCAACACACCCAACCCATGCTTTTGTCAGAAGGTACTTTCTAATACTACTGGCTCAGAAATCACAGTATTATTATGTACATTACGAGACAAAATTCACTGGAAGTTCATTAACACAAATTAATTCTTAAATTTGTGGCAGATATTTTAAGATTGGTAAAACACACATATATTTAGTTTCATCACAGGAAACAATTAGTGCTGTGTAAGAGAGAAATCACTAAATCCAAAACTAACTTTAGGATTTGTTTCAGTTCAAGTTTCATTGCGAGTCTGGGAAGTGCAGTTGCATCTACTCCAATTGATGTAATTAGAGTAAGTTCCATATTATTACCATATTTCCTATTTATGTTAGTGTACAATGAAGAACCCGTTATGTAAATAATGATATTTGCCAGACATGTCAAACTCATGGTCCTTGGGTTTCATGCAGCCCTCTTCATTGTTAAGTGTGAAATATGTACCATTGTGTATTATAGATTTTAATCTTTAGGAAATTGATATTTTTAAAGGAAGTACCACAGAATTTATGTACTGGAAGCAGTACAAGTGGTACAAAAATATGTTTTACACTACCATGTGTTTGCCTTACGTGCCACTGAAGCTATGAATTGAAAGCAGTTAAGAATTACTGTTGAGCTCATGGGAAAGTCCCTGTAGCAGTCGGTTGGCTTGACAAGTCTAGCAAATTGAATTGTTTAATTTGAAAGCAGTATATTTGCTGTGTAAGATTTGAGATTTTCACAGCGGTGAGTCTGAAGATTGCTGTCTTCTGGGTTGTTGCACCGTGTAGTCTGGCAGATGTCCACCAACGTTTCAGAGGCAGCATGACCTCTGAAACGTTGGTGAACATCTGCCACACTACACGGCGCAACAACCCAGAAAACAGCAATCTTCAGCCTATTCACAAATCAGATCTTTTTGATATAATAATTCATTCACCGTCCATACACAAACTTAAAATGTTGTTAAAATTTACTTAAAATTACAACATTTTTTTAGAATTAGATCTTGATACATTTCACATTTGACGACATGTTTCGGTGTATTACACCATCATCAGGTCAATCAATTTAAAA